AGAGAGGGGGCTCCAGGTGGGGGGCGGCAGGAGCCGGAACGGCCCGTGGGAACAGGCCCGGCCGGACAAAAGGGGCGGGAGAAGCCGTCGGAAGTGATGCGGCGGTGACGCGTCCTCTCGTGACGTCACGCCGGGTTTAGGGGGGAGTGACGTCACGCGCGACAGCACCTCACCTCTTTGCCAGCGAAAAGACTTTATTAAAGGAGACAGGAAAACAAAAAAAGGATGAAGTGTGGGGAGAGGGGGCGCCGGGGACCGGCCCCGGGCGAGTGTGACGTCATAGGGCGGGGTGTGATGCAATAGCACAGCGCGGTCCCTCCATCAGGTGCACCGGTGGGAGCGGGACCCCCCACGCCGTCCTACCTGCACCGGCCGCCCCGGAGCGAGCGGCGAGTGAGGCGGGTGAGCAGCACCTTCACCCGGCCCCAGTGCGAGCGCCCGTCCTGCCGGGACAGGATGGGGGAGTCAGGATGGGGGAGTCAGCACGGGGGGACCCCGCGGGACCCCCGCCCGCCGCACCCCAACACTCCCCCCGACCGTACCTTGTCCGGTGCCGGGGCACCCGCCCCGCTCTCGGAGGGGTCCAGCAGGCTGGGGGAGCTGGCAGAGTGTCCCCACATCCTCCGACACGGCTCGGGGGCTGCACAGAGGGGGGACAGACACTGTCAGAGCCTGGGGTCCTGCCATCCCACACCCAGCCCTGATCCCACCCTTCCTGCATCCCACCTGGGGCCTGATCCCGCCATTCCTGCATCCCACCCCTCTCACCTGGGGCCTGATCCCGCCATTCCTGCATCCCACCCCTCTCACCTGGGGCCTGATCCCGCCATTCCTGCATCCCACCCCTCTCACCTGGGGCCTGGCTGTCCGAGCAGGAGCGCGGCCGGAATCCCTCATCCCTCCACGCAGCCGAATCCTGCCTTGGGGGCTCCCGGGTGGGCTGTGGGCGGTCAGAGGAGAGGCAGGGTATGAGCTGGGGCTCCCCCAAACCCCCCCCATCCGTGCATCCCACCTCCTCCCGGCCCTCACCAAGGTGCCCGGGCGGGTGCTCCGGGCACCGGCCGCCTGCTGCCGGAGGATCCTGTTGTCCTGCTGCAGCCGCGCCAGGCGCTCCAGCATCTGGCAGACGTGCTCCAGGTACCGCAGCCCCTGCCCCTCGGGCACAGCCCGGGGGTCTCGGGGGCTGCCGGGTGACCCAGCCCCTCCAGCCGCAGGGGTCGCCGCCCCCTCGAGCTCCTCGGGCTCCCGCGGGGGCTCCGCCAGGTCGGCTGTGCTGGAGCTGCGCCGGCTGAGCTGTCGAGGGCACCGCTGCCTCCTGCTCCGCTGCGCTGCCTGCAGCAGCTTCCTGCTGGCAGAGCGGCTCCGGGGTGTCCGGGGGGGCTGCGAGCCCGGCCCCTCCCCGGGGGGCTTCTCGGCCGCGAGGCCGTCGAGGGAGAAGCTGCTCTCGGAGCCCAGCGGGGTGGAGGGCGAGTGCTCGTTGCTGGCCATCTCCACCCCGGAGTCCTCCGACTCGGACTTGAGGAGTCTCCCGCCGGCCGGGGGGCTGCTGGGGGGCCTCGGGGGGGATCCCCGCGTGCTCATGCCCCGCGGGGGCTGCCGCGGGCTCTCCTGCAGCCGGCGGTAGACGCTGGCCGAGGTGCGCACGATGCAGCTCTCGGCCGTCTCCCAGGGACCATCTGCGGGGCGAGGGAGAGGAAAGGGAGGGTCTCAGGATGCAGAACAAGGTGTCCACCCCTCACACATGAGCCCACCGCCCTCCCAGCCCCCTCGCCACCATCCCTCCCCCCCCCCAAGGCTGCTCCACAGCAGCTCCAGCCGTGCCCAGGCCGCTCTCCCTGTTGCCACAGGGTTACAGCCCCCTCCACATCCAAAAGACCCCTCTCCAGAGGGTCCCCACAGCCAGGGATGTTCCTACGACCACATCAGCAAGTTGCTGCTTCCCAAAAACACGGCCCTGGCCTTCTGCATCCTCCTCCTCCTCCTCACAAGCCACGCTGCTGAGCTGCTGGGGGAGGTGGGGGGCACACGCGACCCCCTCACCCCACCCTGGCTGCTCTCCCTGTATCCCACTCTGGCCCGGTGCCAACAATCCAGGATGCAGGGTGGGATCCCAGACGGCTCCAGGGACCACCAGCTCCTCACACTTCTCCCCACAAGAAAGCGGGGGGGGGACATCACCAGCCGGGATGTGCCCCCACCACCCCGCAGCTCCAGGTGGGATCACGGCGCATCAAGGTTGGGGGAGGAGGGGCCCTCACCATTCCTTTCCCCCCCTCCCTTCCCAGCCAGGCCACGGCAAAGGCCTCAGGGAGGTGGGAGCGAAGCTTTGGCACCTCCTGGGAGTTGCCCACCCTCCCGGGAAGCCCCATTGGGATCTGGCACACCCCCCTTCCCCCCCAAAAACCACACTCACAGCAGCTGAACCTCCTCTTCCAGACGGCGCGGGAGCCCCCCCACATGGCCGGGAGCCGGGGCCGAGTGCCGGGTGCGCGTCCCGGCTCTCCCTTTTATAGCCAGCCCAGCCGGAGACGGGCCCTGTATCCAGAGGCACCTCATTACAGGACTGGTTCCCAACTGGTTCCTCGCAGGGCTTGGGATCGGCGATACAGGCTGGGCCGGTGGTTAAGGGCTCCCTTCCCACCCCAGCCGCGTTGTCTGGGCACCGGCAGGCAGCCAGGAGCCGGGGGAATCCCAACAAATCCCAGGGAACTCACTCAGGAGCTCCGGCTCGGGCTGAGTTCGCCCAGCAGGGGTCCCAGAGCCCCCCAAAAAATTCCCGCAGCCGCGCCACTTACCGCGCACCCCCTGTGGGCTGGAGAGGCCGGGGCCGGCGCTGGGACAATCCGGCCGTTCAGCAGGATTGAATCCCAGCAATCCCGGGTCCACCCCAGCAGGATTGAATCCCAGGAATCCCGGGGGGCAGCCCCTCCACCCTGGCTTGGTGGCTGCCAACATCCCGGCTCCCACACGCCACGTTCCCGGAGGCTGCCGGACCCCACGAGCCGAGGGGCCGCTCCCCCCACCACGGGGGTGTCACCAGAGCCCCACTGGGGTGGGGGGCACAGGCAGGGTGAGAAAGGACGTGGAGGGGATCCCCATCAGCTCCTCCTGGGTTGGCAGCTCCAACTCAGCTGGATCCTGGATCCCCCCCTCATGTCCTTCCATCCCCGGTACCTTCCGGCTGTTGCTGCTGGAGTGGGGGGGCTGGTCCCAGCACAGGCAGAGTTAGGGGGGCACATGGAGATGGGCCCCTGGGTTTTGGGGACCCCCCACACCACTCAATGGGCTCCGGGTGCAGGAACAGGCCCGTCAGCCTCAACATGGGGAGGGAAAACCAGAATTCCCAGCACAGCCAGAACCCCGGGCCCCTCCCAGCAGGGAGGAGGGGGGAAACGAGGAGTCCAGGGACCCCCTTCAGCACAGAGAGCACAAAATGAGGGGTGCCAGAGACCCCCAGGTTCCCTCTCCATCACAGACACCCCAAACCAGGGATCCCTGAGGATCCCTTCCAGCAGGAACTTCACAGGCTGGAGACACCAGGACACTCCTCCCCAGCAGCGGGGAGGGTCCCCCATAGCCCCAGGGACCACCGACTCACCACAATCGTGGAGTGGCTCCACGCTGAAGGCTCCGCGCCGGCGCAGCATCCCCCGGGAACCGGCAGAGACTGGGAATGGGATACAGGCAGCTGGGAACGGCCCGAGGGAAGGGAACAGAGATCCTGGAGCCGAGCACGAGGCACTGGGAACCGGGCAGAGGGGAAATGGAAACCGGGAGCCGGGCAGGGAGCAGCGGGCTCGTCCTCCGCCTTTTTATGGGGCAGGGCTTGGGGGGCGGCACAGCCCTGGGGCGGGCCGGGGGTGGGGGAGCTGCCCCCTACCCGGGCAGCCCCTTTGCCCCCAGCCCCACCTGTGCTGTCCCAGGAGGGCTCAAGGCGTTCATTCCTCTTTTTTTTACCCTGAGTGCCGAGGGCGGGAGAGGGGCAGGACCATCATCATCCTCCTCCCTCCCTGGGGGTCATAGGGAATGGTTTGGGTGGGAATCGACCTTACAGACCACCCAGTGCCACGGGCAGGGACACCTTCCCCTCCACCAGGTTGCTCCAACCCATTCCTGGACACTCCCAGGGATGGGGCAGCCACGGCTGCTCTGGGATGTTCAATCGGGAATTCCAGGATGAGAGCTCCATGGACGGGCCTGGAGGCACACGAGGGGCTGTGGTGCACCCCAGACAGACCCCAGTGAGACCCCCAGGCGCGAGGGGAGGGGGCTCCTGGCTGTCCCCAGAGCAGGGGAAGGAGCTGGTTCCCTCCCAGGCTGCTGATAAGGGCGAATCCCAGATAACAGCAAAGCCCATCTCCGTGCAAACAGGCACGGAGGGTGGGGAGCAGAGATAAGAGCCCACCTGGGCCCCTGCAGGACAAAGGGCTCGGCCAACAGCCCCCAATAAAGCCCGACACCTCCCAGGGACGCCAAGAGCAGGGAGGGGACATCCAGCCCCGCGGGGAGCCCCGACCTTCCCGGGAGCACCACAAGGTCAGCTGGGATGTCACTGGAGAGCCCAGGATGTGCCACGAAGCCCTGGACCCCCACCCTGGGTGCAGGCAGGAGGGCTGGGGGGGTCTGAGGTCCCCACCTTGCCCCCACCCTCGGATCCCAGCACAGAGCAGACACGGGAGTGGAGCAAATATATATTATATTTGTATATAATCTGGTTTAATACTTTTGTTGCAGTCAGTGTACAAGCGGTGCCAGCCCCTCTCTGGTACCCAAGTGCTCAAGCATCCCTGTGACCCCCCCCCAACATCCCCCCTGTGTCCCCCACTGCTGCAGCTCAGGCTGAGACCTAACCCAGCTCCTCACACACGGGTGAAGGTGGGTGGCTGCTGCTGCATCCCTCCCCAAAAATCCCAGCCACGCCAGGCCTTGTGGTGCCCTCAGCCCCCCCATGACACCCCGTACCCCAGTGGGGCTGGTGGGTGCAGGGGGCTGGCCCCAGGACACGGTGTGGGGGATGCAGGCGGTGATTCCCCATCACACCGTGCCTGTGGCTCAGGAGTGGGGGGACACGGGTGGGGGTGACAGGGGCGCCCCGGGGGGGCCCTGGTAGCGCAGGCGGGCGTGTTTCTCGCAGAACAGCTCATCGCCCACCCAGAAGTGGCCCCTCATCTTGAGGTTGAGGCCGCAGTCGGCGCAGCTGTAGCAGGACGGGTGCCGGTACCGCCCGTCCTGGATCCGCACCGCCTGCGTGCTGGGGGACACCAGGAGGGGCCATCAGCAGGGCACCCCCCATGTCCCCGGGGTCCCCTCCCACCCCACTGTGGCCCCAGAGCGATGGCAGGGCCGGGTTCCCCACTCCCATCCCAGGATCACCCCCGTTTGTTGCCTAACAGGGGGCAATAACAGGGACAGATCCTGCCCCCCCCGGGAGGGCAGCCCAGCCCCCGTTTTTGGCTTTGCCAGGACGGGTGGCAGGCACAGCCCCCGCCACCAGGGTGCCCCCCAGCCCCACTCACGCGATGCTGCTCCCGCACTTCTCGCAGACGTGCAGCTTCTGCACCCCGGCCACGGGTCTGCGGGCGCCGGACGAGAGCCGGCTGGGGAAGGGGGCTGTGGGACCACCTGTGGGAGGAAGGGGGGAAGGAAACAAGGCCATCAGGGTCCTGCTGATTCCCCTGCCAGACCCCAGCCTCCCCCAGCGCCCCTCGTCACCTCCTTCATCCTCCAGCGCCTCCTGGAGCAGGCGGAAGGTGCTGGATTGCCGCGGGGCCGCCCGCAGCTCCCGGTTCTCCTGCAGCATCTTGTAGACCTCGGAGTCCTCCTCCAAGCGCCTCATGGCCGGCTCTGAGCACTGGCTGCGGGACGAGGGGGAGATGTTTTGGAGGGGGGGGGTGGTTGACAGCACCCAAATTCCGGGATCCACCCTCTGCACCCCCCCCCACAACCCGCCTGTCACCTGCTCCCTCCTCTCCCCGGGAGCTGCCCCGGCCTGCCCGGCCCTGCCTCGGCCCCACCTGCCTCGCAGGTGAGTTAACCCTTTCCACGGGCTCCCCTGGCACCCGTGGGTGACACACCAGCGTGCCAGGGTGGGGCACAGGGCTGGTGGCTTCCCTGTGCCGTGTCCCCCTCCCTCCCAACCCCGCTCCGTACCTGTTGCAGGTGTTGGGAGAGAGGGGAGAGTGATGGTCCCTGTGGTTTTGGGGGGCTCCAAGCCCTGGTGAGGGTGGGTAGGGGGGTGGAGGCAGGATGGATCCCTGGCAGCTGTTCTGGCGGGTCAGGATTCCTCGCTCCTGGGAGAGAGAGGATGGTTGTCCTGGGGGGTGCAGAGGGTCGGGCGGGGGTGGCCCCCAGAATGGCCTGGCAGGGTGCCCACAACGCTCCCTCTCCCCCTGGGGACCCCAAGGGCACTCAGACCAGGCCCAGAGGGGCTTTCCTCGAGCCCTTGTCTCTGGAGGGATGCAGGGATCCTCCACGGGGCAGCTGCTTCTCCTCCCCAAGCCTGGCAGGGGTCAGCACCCCCACCCCATAACCCCTGCGCCTGCGCCCGTCCCTTCCCCACCATCTGCTCCTGCTTAGTGGCCCCAGCCAGGCAGGGAAGAGGAGCCTTGGATAAGTGGAAGCTGATGTTCCCGGGAGCAGCCGCCACGCAGATGGGAACCCCAGGGGGACCCCGGGACGGGGACGGGGACCCCCTGCCCGGATCCACGGAGAGGCAGGGGGGCAGCCCCGGGGTTCTGTGGGGTCACGAGGGGACGAGGGACAAGCTAAAATTAGGAGCGGGAGGAGCCGGGCGCCTTGGCCTCGTCCCCACCAGGATCCAGCGCCAACCCACCCCGGGATGGTGGGGAGAGTGGGATCCACGGGCAGCCCTTCCCCTCGGCTCCCCCTTGGGTGTCTTCACAGCCCTGCGGTGGGGGGCTCCGGGCAGCCAGGGGCACTCAGGGACAGGGAGGGACACTCAGGGACAGGGAGGGACCCCCGGGGCAGGGAGGGACCCTCTGGGGCCAGAGCAAAGCCAGAGCTGGGGAGGAAGGAGGGAGCAGGAGGAAGGAGGGAGAGGGCAGCCAGAGCAGCCAAGGGGTGGCCGGGTCTGCGGCCAAAGGCAGGCGGGAAGGGCCGCACTCCAGGACCACGGCGCTTCCCAATTTGGGCTTGGAAAACAAGAAAAAGAGAAAGCAGGGGAGGGAAGGGAGGAGGGAGACGCCAAGCCCGGAGCCAGCGGCTGCCATCCCCCTGCGGGGATGGACGGGGCGGCCAGGGGCATCCTGGGGCTGATCTGGGGGATGGAGGACGAGACATCCAGCTCCTCCGGGCATCCCAGCCCCGCTCCGAGGGTATCCCACCGGGCTGGGGGTGCGCCGGGCCATGAGTCCCTGCCCGGCCAACACCCCAGTGCCCCGGGCTGGCGGGAGTGGGGCTGGGCCTCCCCAAACTGGTTTGGCCTCCCCTGGCTGGCGCCGCTGCCAAGAGGAGCAAAACATCCCTGGGCAGGTGCCGGTGCCCGCGGGTCTGGGGGTGCTGCCAGGGCGGCGGGGAGGGGGCACCAGAGGGGAGGGGGCACCGGCTGTCCCTGAGGGAGAGCAGGGCTGGGCAGTGATGTGGCCAGGGGGCTGCAAAGCGGGGTGGTTTAGGGGCTCAAAAGTGGGATGGTTTGTGCTCGAGAAGGGGGATGCTTTGGGTTCTTGAAGGGGGATGATTTGGGGGTGGTTTGGGGGCTCAAAGGGCAGGGGTTTGGGGGTTCAAAGTGGGGTGCCTTGGGTTTGCAAAGGGGAGTGGTTTCAGGGCTCAAAGGGCATGGCTTGGGTTTGTGAAGGGGAGTGGTTCTGGGGTCAAAGGGTGATGATTTCAGGGCTCAAAGGGCATGGCTTGGGTGTGCAAAGAGGGCAGTTTGGGGGTTCAGAGGGAGGTGGTTTGGGGCTGAAAAGGGGGCAGGTTTAGTGTTACAAAAGCTGATGGTTCCCAGATGGTCCCCCCTCCCCAGCACCTCTGCCTGCCCTGCCCCTCTCAGCCCCCCAGCTCCCCACTCACCTGGCGGAGGCCGGGACAGGTGAACTCCTCCTCCAGGGCTTGTGAGCTGTGGGGACAGAACGGAGCCATCAGGGGGGTCCCTGGCCCTCCCCAGCCCCCTGCCCACCCCCCAGCCCCACACACAGCTGGGTCCAGCCTTACCTGGCACTGTGGGGCAGGTGGATGGGGGATGCCAGGCTGGGGTTGGGGGCTCTCGAGGCACTCTGGCTCTCATCTCGCATCTGCAGCGTGTCCTGGGGAGGGGAGGGTGACACCAGCAGCTGCCACCAGCCCTGGGTGGGGGGGCCAGGGTGTGCTGGGGCTCACCTGGACATGTGTGGCCAACCTCTCCAGTGAGGCGTCCCCATTGGTGTGGCTCTGGGGTGGCACCGGGGACCTGGGGACCAAGGGAGAGCAGGGAGGGTCTGCAACGTGCCCCAGGAGCGCTCGTGGCATGGCACAGCACGGCGTGACCGCTGCCCTCAGCCCCCCAGGAGGTGGGGACAGGCACCAACTGGGCCCCCAACTGGGACCAGTCAGGCAGGGAACAGCTGCCTGGCCTCGTTAGCACCTGACTCCTTAATTAGAGAGCCAGGCCAGGCTCACAGTGGGAGCGGGGGGATGATGGCACAGCCCCAGGAGTCACCCCGGGGGGAAAACAGCCAGCACACACTCGGCTGGGGACCCCAACCCACGTGGGGACACCCCTGGGACCCAGCCCCAGCCCCAGGGCTCGGGGCTGCCCACCCTCCCCACCGGCACCCACCTCTCCACCTCGAGCTGGAGCTGCCCAGGGCTCTGCTTGATCTTGTTCTGGGCCTCCACGTGGAGCATCTCGGCCGCGCTCTCCCCGTTGATGGTGACGATGACATCCCCCGCCCGGAGGTCGCCCGCGGCCGCCTTGCCGTGCTCCGTCACCTCCACGGAGAAGGAGGGTGTGGGGACAGCCCCGGTGAGCCCCCCACACTCACACCCCCCCCGAGGGGAGCAGCACAGCACCCCCCACGCGCAGCCCTGGCACCAAGGCCTGTATCCATCCCTGAATCCCACCCGCCGGAATCCCCACGGCCTCGGCAGAAGACGGCAGCAGCCCCCCCTGCCAGGGTGGGACCACGGCCCTGGCAACAACACCCGGAAACTCGGCACGGCCCTGCCCAGCCCGGGGGTGGCACGGGGCCCCCGCGCCGCCGTCGCCCGCCGAGGGCCGTTCCCACGGAGCAGGATCCCCCAAGGACAAGCAAACAGGATCCTCTCCCCGGAGCAGCCCAGCACGGCGCCCGCCCGGCGGCCTCCCCTGGCATGGGTGGCACATGGGTGGGGGTGTGTGTGTGTGTGTGTGTGTGTGGGGTGGTCCTACCTTGGAGACAGTGATGGGCTTCCCGAAATCTCGTCCCCCGGAGATGCGGAAGCCCCACGGGGCCGGGCCGGGCAGGGTCACCGTCACCGGCATGGCAGAGGGTGGCTCTGGGCAGGCAGCAGGGTGGTGTCAGGGATCCCAGGCACCCAGGCAGAGGGGACCCCCCTCCTCCCACCCACAGCACACCCAACGGGGGCCTCCCTGTCCCAGCTGCACCTCGAGCAGGGGGTGATGGAAACCGGCAGTGCTTTCCTTCCGGGGAGGGGACCCACGTCCCCGCGGGGTGTCAGCAGCCACCGCCGCTTCCTCTGGCTGCCACAAGGCTGGTGGCTTCCTCCCCCACGGAGCACGGGGGTCCCGGGCACAGCTGAGACAGCCAAGGTCATTCCCAGGGGCTGGAGCCAGGCGGGGAATCGGTGACGCCTTGGCAGCAAGGCCAACGCCACAGTGAGGCAGGGCCAAGCCAGTGGGGTTGGCAGGGCAGGATGTGGTGACCCTGCTGCTCACCACGGCGGGGGCTGGCACCCAGCAAGGGCCACCACCCCGAGCCCTTCATCCTGCAGCAAATCCAGAGCAGTAAAGGGTGCTGAGTATCCCCCCCGGGGGTGTCCCATGGCACCCCGGGGAGAGCAGCAGCCCCTGGCTTCGATGGGATGGGTGGGAATGGGCAGCCCCGTCCCCTAAATCCACACCAGATCTCATCCCGTCCCACCACAGCCTGGCCGAGCCCCGGGGAGAGCTGGATACCCTGTCTGGAATTGGGCATCCCATCCGGAACCGGGCACCTCGTCCGCAGCCGCCGGGAAGGCATGTTAAAAATCCCAAGCGCACAAAGAGGGGCTTGAGAGGCTGCCCGGAAGAATTTCCTGGGCTGGGCTTCCAGTGCCGGGAGGAAACCCCAAACCCCAAACCACCTCCCCATGCCCGGCCCCGCTCAGCATCCCTGGGCAGCGAGGGCTGCCGGCCTGGGGACCCCCACACCTTACTGGGCACCAACCCCAGACCCCCAAAGGGTCCTGCACCTCTTCTCCAACTCCTGCACCCCTCCTTCGTGTCCTGCGCCCCTTCTCCATCCCCTGCTCCCCTCTTGGTCCCCCGCACCTGTGTCCCCGCTCCCTCCCGGCGCTGTCCCCGCCGCACAGCGATGTCTTTGTGCCCGCGGCGACTGGCGGTGCCGCCTGGCACCCGCGGGGCGAGCGGCGGGGACTGGCGATGCCAGAGGAAACGCGGGGACGTGGCCCTTTGGGGACATGGGGACACAGAGACGTGGGGGTTTGGGCTATGGGGACACTGGGACCTGAGGACATGGGGATTTGGGGCACGCGGACACCTGGGGATGTGGGGGGACAGGCTGCCCGTAACCCCCTCCCCTGCTCGCCGGAGCAGCACCCCCGGGACCCCCGCGACCCCCGGTGGAGGGGCAACCCCGACAGCCGCCGCCGGCCCTCCCTGGTCCCCCCCGCACCCCACGGTGCCCCCCAACACCCCTCCGTGCCCCCCCACACCACCGGTACCCCCCGCACTCACCGGGGCGGCCGAGGCGGGCGGCCCCGCGGGGCTGCGGAGCCGAGCGCGGCCCCGGGACGGCACCGCCTCCTCGGGAGGAGCCGGGCCGGGCCGGGCCGGGGCGGGCTGCGGGCACGGCCCTCCCGTCCCGACGGGGCGCACGGCGGCGGCTGGTCCCGCCCCGGCACCGCTCGTGGGCGTGGGGGGATCCCCGCGGCCCCACGCGGCGTCCTGCGGGACCCCCCGCCCAGCCGGCTCCCCCCGAATCCCCGGCAACCCCCGGACTCGGGCTGAGCTGAGCTTTAATGACGGACAAGAAGCGAAGGCGACTCCCGGACGCGGACCCACAGCCCGGGTCGCGGCCGTCATGGTCAGGCCCGGCACCGGCGGAGCCCCGGGGCGACCCCCGGGGCGGCGGGCACCGGGCAGCGGTGAGGAGGGGGCGTGTTAAGGCACTGGGGTAGGGGAGACCCCCCGCGCCGGGGGGGATTTGTCCCTGTTAGAGGCAGCCCCATAGGGGCGGGAGGGAGCTGGAGGCACTTCATCCCCCCTGGAGGGGACACGGCGCGGCCGAGGCGGGGCAGCCCCACCCCACGCACGTCCCCGCGGGTCACACCGGCGCCACATAATTCCCGGGGAAAGTGCCGAATTTCTGCGTCCTCCTGGACACGCCTGCGGGGGAACAAAGTCACGGGGAGGCGGTGAGGGGTCGCGGAGGCGCCTTGTCCCCGTCCCGGCCCCCGTCCCGGTGGGCACGCACCCACGAACCAGCCGTCATCGCATTGCTGCATGACGTCCACGCGGTCCCCCTCCAGCAGCTCCAGCTCGTCGGCGTTCTGGGGCCGGTACTGGTAGAGCGCCCGGTACCTGCGAGACACAGCGTGGCCAGGGCCCACCTCCCCCGACACGGGGTGGGGACACGGCACGGAGGGGGGACGCTCCTGGCCCTACTTACGGGGTCCACCGGATTTCGGAGCCGTTGTAGGACGGGGCGGGCTCGGGGCGGGTGCCCACGGGTGCCCCCGGGGTGGCACGCTGTGGGGGGAGACGGAGGGTGGGTGCAGCGTTCGGGGCATTACCCAGGGCGGGGGGCACGATGCCAGGGTTGGGGGGGCACTCACCTGCTCGGGGGCCCAGGCTGGACGCCGCGGGTTCTGGGGATGGACGGCCACAGGCTGGGGGGGGCTGGCAGAGGCCAGCGAGGGGCTGGGGGTGCCAGCGTGGGGCAGCTTTGGGGAGGCGGGGAAGGCGACACCGAGGTGTCCCCCCGGGACCCCAGGACGCCGCTCCGCCGCCCGGGGGGAGCCGGTGGGGTTGTGGGGGGCGCGGGGAGCGGGCGAGCGCTGCAGGGACGGGGACATGGTGGGGCTGGGCGAGGCGGGGATGTCCTCGGCGGTGGCCTTGACCCGCGGCTCCTTCAGCACCTGGACGTAGGTGGCGGGGAAGATGCCCTGGCGGCTGGTGCCCGAGATCCGCCCCTCGTACCAGTTCTCATCCACCCGCCGCACCAGGCAGATCCGCTCGCCCTGCCGCGGGGAGGAGAGGGTTGGGTCAGCGTGGGACGGTTTGGAAATGGCCCAGGAGTGGCACAGGGGGAGGCACAAGCGGGCACCTTGCGGAAGGAGAGCTCCACGTGCAGCTCCCCTCGGAAGTTGTAGAGCGCCAGGGCCTCGCCGTGCTCCAGCACCTGGATGGTGGGCGCCTTGATGGGCTTGGGCACCTCCGTGGGGGGCAGGATCTGGGTGGGACACAGGGGTGAGGGGGGCAGTGCCAGGCTCTCCCAGCCCCGCTGCTGCCCCCTCTGTCCCCCATCCCCCTGCTCACCTCTACGTAGTTGGAGGGGAAGATGCCCACACGGCCGTGGTGCTCGCCCTCCAGCCAGTTCCTGTCCACCTCCTTGTGGATGTAGACGATGTCCCCCTTCTGCAGCGTCAGCTCCCTGCAGGGGACAGTGCTCACACCTGTCTGGGGGACACTGACCTGTCCCCAGGCCAGCTGGTGGGGCCACCCCATGTCCTGGGGCTTGGGGGGGACCCCAGGGGTGACCCCCAGCAGCACCGGCGCTTACTTGGGAGACTCGGCTTGGAAGTTGAACTTGAGGCGAGCAGCTTTCATCTGGGGAGGGAGAGGAGCAGTTACAGGGAGACCCCCCCCATCCCAGCCATCCCAAACCCCAGAGGGGATGGGCCCATCCCGGCCTCACCTTCTTCTCCTCCCTCCTGACGGTCTCGGCGGGATCTCCCATGTCGGGCAGGCTGGGGAGGGTCCCTGGCCTGAGGGTGTCTGCAAAGAGCGGGGTGTCACCAGCTGGGGGGGAGCATGGGGTGCCCCATGGCTTGAGAAGGGTCTGGGGGGGCTCAGGGGGGCTCACCTCTGCTGGGGGCTGCCCGGCTCCGATCGCTGGCCAGCCCCAGGACACCCCGCTCCATGCCGGGGCTGGCGGGGGAGCGCTGGGTGACAGGGGGGCTCCGCAGCCGGGGGGGTGACAGGGGGCTCCTGTGGGGTCACAGTGGCTCAGGGCTCACATCCAGCCCTACTGCCATGAACCCTCCCTGCCCCAACCCTGCTGTCCTCGGGAGGGCAGGACCCCCGGGTTGCACGGACCAGGGTGCCAGGGTACCCCAGGATCCCTGAGCTCCACAGACCAGAACCCCTGGGTACCCCAATACCAGGACTCTGGGGTCCCCCATGACCAGGACACCGGGCTGTCCTGGGTGCATCCCTCCAGGATCCCACCCCAGAGGCAGCCAAGCGGGACAGGTCCAAAGTTTTCCGGCAGTGCCCGCGGAACGTCCCTGCTGGTGCCGAGCAGGAAGCGCGGAGCAGGCGAGTGCCGGGGAGGGCGACCTGGCTAATGGATAACCCACTGCAGGGGGCACTTAAAGAGCCCCAGATGCCCCCCAAGGCCAGAGGAGGGGTTGGCAAGCAGGCAGGCATCCCCCCTGTGCGCCCCTGGGGGTTACAGCAGGTCCTACAAGAAGCGGAGCTGCTGTTTGTTTGTTTTCCTCCCACTGCCGGGGCAGAGATGGGTCCGTAGGGACACCCCTGGGGTGCCCGGGCACATCTCAGGGTACCGACCCCACCCAGGGGTGCCACAGCACCCACCAGCACAGCTGTCCCCTCCCTGTGTCTGTGGGGACACAGCAGTGGGAACCCAGCCGCCGTCACCTCCCCTGGGACGGAGCCAAGCGCCGGGACACGGCGTCCCGGGGACGGGGGAAAGGGTCAGCCCCGCTCCGGCCCCGTCCCACCCACCGGGCAGCCGGCCCAGCGCCGGGGCCCCCACCCGTGCCGGGACGTGGGGGGGGACACGAGGGGGCCAGCGCTGCCACGGGGGGTCCGTGGGGGATCCACGGGAATCCCGAGGGGGGGATATCTGGAGGCTCCCGCCCCGCCCCGCCGCTGGAGGGACAGCCCGCTTGCCATCCCCGGAGCGGGGTCCTGCCCCCCACCTCCAGCGGGGTGTGGGCAGTGGGATTTGGGGGTCCGGGGAGCGGGAGCAGCCGCGGAACTCACCGAGCAGCCGGGGAGGCCGGAGCAGGGGAGCGAGCGGTGGGAGCAGCCGCCGGGCTCTGCCGGGAGGAGCGGGAGGGGGTGGGAGAGAAAAATTAATCATCCAGGAGGCCGAGTCTCGGCGGGAAGCGAAGGAGTCCAGCCCGGCTGCGCCAATAACCGCCGGACAGACGGACGGGCTGGGTCCTAGAGCCCCACGGCCACGGCTCGGGGCCGCCGAGGAGCCGCCCGTGGGCCCAGATGTGCACGGAGCAGGCACAGAGTCCTGCACACGTCCAGATGTGCATGCCTTCATCCAGATGTGCAGGCCCCCAGCCGTGCCCACACCCAGCCGTGCACTCGTGCAGGGGTGGGCCCAGCCACGCGTGCATCCAGATGTGCGCACACCCAGCCCGGCGTCCCACCACGTGCGTGCTCCAGCCTTGCACAGGGGTTGTGCCCACAGCTGGATGGATGCACACACACCCCCCATCAGCCCTGCTGTGGTGGGGGGGACAAGGAGCAGCTGACAGGGGGTCGGGGGTACCTGGCGGGGTGTCCGGCGCGTCTCCATGTTCCTCATATCCTTGTCCAGCTCCTCGCTGAGCTGCTCCAGCTCCTGCTCCAGCAGCACCTGGGCGAGCAGGGTCGGGCTGTGGCGGGCCAGGCTGGCACTGCCCGTGGTCACCAGGATCCCCATGGCCACCCCCAGCCCCCTGCCCGCCACCACCACCTTACCTCAATGGACTGAGCCCGCCGTGCCGCTGTCGGGGGCTGGAAAGGGCAAGGGGCCAGTTAGGTGTGTGCCCACCACGGTGCCCACCAAAATCCCTCCCTGCCAGGACCTCCCTACCTGCTCCAGCGGCGAGAATTTCCCCGGTTCGTAGTCAAAGATGCTGCCGGGCTCTGCGGTGGCACCGGGGTCACCCCAGCACGTCCTGAGGGGAGGCAGGAGGGGCTGAGCCCCCGCAGCCCCCCACCCTGCAGGCACCCCCATCCCCGTGCCACACTCACCAGCCCATCCCGTTGGGCATCCCGGGGGGCTCGGCCGGTGCCGAGCCCCTCCTGCGCGGTTTGGGGGGCGACGGAGGCGCCGTGGCGGGGCAGGGGTGGGTGTCCCAGTCGGGCTCTGGGGATGCAGGAGGTGAGCAGGGTGCCAGGCCGTGCCAGGCCGTGCCACGCCTGCACTCCTGGGCTCACCTGGCAGCTTGCGGTGGATCTGCCGGAACATGCTGCGGTACCAGTCTCGGGGGCTGTCGACACTCTGTGGGGACACATTGGGGTGGTGGTGAGGGGACAGGACGGGGGGTGGCAGCCTGGCCCCGCGCCCCGACTCACCGAGCGGGAGGCGATGGGCATGCCCGTCTCATCCACGGGCCCGATGCCGTCGTACTTCACCCAGCGCCGCTCCCGCCGCTTGCTGTCCTTGGTCCAGGTGGCCGACCAGCCCGGGGGGCACGAGCGGGCAGGGGCAGCCCTGGGGGTGGGCGTGGGGCCGGCGGGCGCTGGGGTGTTGGGGGCTTTCGCCTCCTTGGCCGGCCAGGTCTGGTACCACTCATTCACTGGGGACAAGGTGGGTGTTGCTCAGGGGGGCATCTCTCAGGGGTAGGGTTGGGGGGGGAGGCCGTGGGGGTGTCCCCAGGGGCACTCAGGGCCCTACCTGAGCTCTTGGGTTCCGAGCTCGTGGGCTCCGGGTCGTGGAAGTGGAAGTTGAGGGTGTTGGAGCCGCGGTGGTGGATGATGGGCACCTGCGGGACAAGGAGGGGCTGGAGCAGGGGGGTTGAAGGGAGGGAAGGAAGGGGTGCAGCCCCCCCAAAATGCCCCGCACGCAGCAGCCCCTGGCCCCACTCACCCGTGTCACTGTGCGCTGGGTGGGCACCTGCAGGGGCGGGTGGAAGGAGGGGACATCCTGGACACCCAGGTCAGGGTCTGAGGGTGGGAGCCGACCTGCCATGGCCAGGGTGTGCTGGGGTGGTGCCCCAGGGCTGCCCCGTGTCCTGTTAGGAAAGTGGCTTTGCTCAGTGGGGTGACAATAGCGGTGGCACCATCCCCAGCTCCAGGAGTCTCACAGTGCGGTGGGAAGCAGCAGTTCCCGGTTGGAACCAGCCCTGGCAGGGCTTCCCAACGTGTTCTCCATGCGGATCCAGACCCACTCCCCCATCCCATCCACCCCTGTCCCCGCCCCGGCTCTGCAGGGATGGATCCAGCCCCGCTTGCTCTTCGGGGAGAACACGCCCGGAGCGGGTCGGGGCGATGGCTGTGCCGTGTTCCCATCACCTTGGCATCCCGGCGCGGTGCCCTCCCGCCCGGGCACGTGGCGGCAGCGGCGTCGCCCGCCCGGGAGAGCTGCCAGGGCCGGGAAACACGACAGGGCAGAAATATTTCCCCCGCCCTGCAGCGCAAACAGGGAGGGAGAGGGGACGGAGAGGGACGAGGCGTCGGGAAAGCGCGGCCGGGCCCCGGCACCGCCCGCCGGGAGGGCAGCGCCGTGACTCACCACGGTGTGGGGGCCGGCTGGGGGGACCGGGACCCCCAGAGCGGGTCCGGGCACCGGGATGGCTCCAGGGGCGAGCGCAGCCCCGGGACTGGACGGGGACACCTGTGTCCTGCCTCGTCCCCATGTGAGTCATCCCCCAGCGCTCACAGGTGCCCATCACGGCCAGATCCCCCTCAAACAGCCTGGGGGGCTGCCGGGGGAGGGAGGTGCCAGCCTAGCACGGTGCCCTGTGCGTGTGGGACCCCCAAATCGGGCTGGGGAACCCTCAGCTCCTTGCTCCCCACACCGCCGGTGTCCTCGCAGCCCCAAGGGTGTAATTCATGTTAATCACCCACCCCGGGGTGCTGGATGATGGGAATGATGTGCCCCAGGGAGCAGAAAGTGGGGTGCAGACTTCTACCCCCCAGGGCACCCCAATAACCTCCACCCCATTCCCAGCGCAGCGCCCACGCGGGGCTCGGCCCCATCCTTCCCCAAAAAACCTGTCCCCGGGGGTCCCCTCCGGGCACCCCCTCCTCGCCGGCCCCCCCTGCCAGCTCTTACCTCCTGGGTGGTGCCGGCGGGGACCCCCGGGGAGCGCCAGGGTTTTGGGGGGCCCCGGGGCGAGCGGGACGGAGCTGCGAGCGGCAGGGAAGAGAAATCCACGGCACGGACTTTGCCGGGAGGAGTGGGATTGGGCGGGGGGGAGGTTGCTCAGCGCATCGCGGGGGACTGGCAGGGACAGCCCCACCCCGAGAGCATCCCCCGGGTGGGTCAGGAGCCACCGTCCTCCCCGGCGCTGGGTCCCCGTGTGCCCCTGTTCCCCTTGGGGTGCGCTGCTCCGTCCCCCCCCGAGCGGGGCCGGCCCATTCAGAGTTTCCAGTG